TGCAGCCGGGGGGCGGCCGGGCCGGCAGCGCGGGGGCCCGGCCGTGCAGCCCCAGCCCGTCCGTGGTGAGCGAGAAGGAGAAGGAGGAGCTGGAGCGGCTGCAGAAGGAGGAGGAGGAGAGGAAGAGGCGCCTGCAGCTCTACGTCTTCGTCATGCGCTGCATCGCCTACCCCTTCAACGCCAAGCAGCCCACCGACATGGCCCGGCGGCAGCAGAAGGTACCGGGGCCGAGGGGGCACCCGGGGCCTGGCTCCCGCCGCCCCCGGGCTCCAGGGCAGGAGGGAAGGGTCCTTGGTGGAGGAGCGGGGTCCTGCCTCCCAAGCGCCCCCGACTGACAAGCCACCGAAGTGCCCTCAAGTTCAGGAGTAGCAGGGAGGGAAGGTCCTCGTTCGGAGCGCGTGATCTTGCCTCTGAAGCTCCCCTGGGTTCAAGGGCAGGAGGGAAGAGCCCGGTCTTTGCTCTGGAGCTTCCCTCTGACTCCCCTGAGACAAGGCCAAGCTTTGCTCCCCCTACCGTTTTCAAAGGCAGCTTGAATTGACCCCTCCGGCCCAGTGTTTTCTCCCCAGTACAAGCCCTCGTTGGGCGTCGGCGCAGACCCACCACTGGGCAGGTTTGCAGCTCTCATGGGTTTTTCTCCCCCACCCGTGCAACCGCAGGCTCTGCCCGTGTGAGCTCCTTAAATTTCTCTCTTGCTCACAGCGGGTTCGGAGCTACATCGGTAGGAGAGTGCTTTGGCACCAGGCTAGAAACTTTCATAGTCTTAAGTTTCAGCCAGCAGTTGGGACGTGCCTACGGGCAGTGGGTTTGCAAGTGGCTATGTCCTCGTGGGCTAACGGGCTATGAACATCAAGCTTTGCGATGGCAGGGCTGACACAACAGCAGCTCTACCTTTGCGAGTGCGTCACTACACTACAGCAGTAAACCGTTCCAGACAAAAGACTGGGAAGGGACACCTCCTCTGGACTCCCCATCAGGCGCGGTGCGACTGCAGTGAATGGAAAGATGTGATTAACTTTTCTTTCATGGCTGGTGGCACCACCAGCTAGTCCTGCCCTCTCAGATTCAAAGACTTGATACAGAAATTAGGGATTTGGAAAGCAGTTCACTCCCACTGGCGTAGGGTGCATCGCAGTTGAAGGCAGCTGACTTTCTCCCCATTGCTGTCTGAGTAGACGGATAATGGGATATGGCATGACTGGCTGTTTATTTGCTCCCCCTCCCTTTTTAATAGAGTTTATTAGGACTGCAGTTTTGGGCCTGATACTATTCTGCTTTTGCAAATGACCTTTATAAACCACAAAGACTCCGGGCCGTATTGATATAAATGACATTCATTCAGTTCTGTTGCACCACAAACCTATTATTAGTCATTGGAACATAAGGACATAGAGGGAAAAAATACCAGTGCATAGTCTGAATGCAATATAGGGCAATCTGAAGGTTGAATGGTCCCCTGCCAGCTGAGTGAAAGATGTTGATTTTACAGTTAGATTTATATAGATGTATTTTCTATTTTAAGCTTCTAGTAAGCTGTGGAAACTTTGAGTTCTAGCACCTTGTTTCTTTTACAACTTGTCAATAGCAGAAAATAAAATTGCAATAATCACTTGCACGGCTGCAAAAGACAAAGCTGGATTGCAGCTAAAGGTGAACTGATCATGAAAATCAACCTCAAATCCTTTAGCTGAGAGCTGGATGGTAGGAAAAATCCTAGTAGGTGAATAAAGATGCAGTGCTGCCAAGAGAAGGACAATGAAAATGAAAGGAGGAAAAATGAAACAAACAAACAAACAAAAAACAAAGAGGAGAAATAAAAGCCTCTTAAGGAAGTGCAGGTGAAACAAATAAATAAGTAAGGGGGGTAAATGCAAAGTAAAAAAAAAAGCAGGGGGGGGAGTTAAAAAGGAAAAGTGAGTCATTCTCTGGAAATGAATAATGTAGGCAAGCATAGTTAGCTGTTTTATACAAGTAGTCCAACAATAGTCAGAACAAATGAGTTTCAGCGTTCTTGGAATAGTCTCCTATTATGTATCCGGGTTGCAGAAGTTGTGAGGAATTCCTGTTGTTTTACTTGACAGCATGCAAGTTCTCTTAAAAGGCAACTTGCTCTGATTTTTCTTTTCTCTATTCCCAGATTGCATGGAGGCTCCAGGGGGGCAGACCCTGGTTTTTATTTTGCTCGGGCAAATCTCCCTTCCCCTGACTTACCAGCAGTGCCTAAGCAGGGAGTTGCTCTGTTGCTACAGATCGCTGTGGAAAAGGGAAGGTGGCTTTTTTCCCCTATCTCCCTCAGACATTGCATCACCCTAGCGAGAGGGCAGATGTGAAGCGTGTCGGCTCCTTTCCCTTTTCTGCCTCATTGGGGTTGGAGTTTGTCACAAGAGCACTCCTGCATTTGAGGAGGTCTGTGGATGCTTGATGTCCTTTCATTTAGCTGTAGGGTCTTTTCATTGCTCCTGATCAACAAAAACCCATGTGCCCCAAGGCAAACAGGGAGGTGGCAAATGCATTTTCTGCCTTGGAAGGAAAAGGCACAGGTGTTTCTGTTCTCAGTGGAGCAGCTGGCTTCCTTTCCTGCTGCACAGTGGGTGCATGCACCAAGTTGCTTTCTTCAGCACAGTATGTGTTGACTACCAAGTGCTCAATAGCTGGACAGGAATGGAGAGGGCTTTACTGATCATCATAGAGTTGATCCAGGCTTCAGGCAGGTGGGACTATTAGTCTAAGCCGCTCTCCCTTTCCTCCCAGAGGTGCAGAAGGCCAGAGCCGTCAGGAGCCTCTTTCCAAAGAGGAGGCTGCTGCAAGGCTAATAAGGCACAGGTGTGCTTCATTACAGGCACTGAGGGCCCTGATGATTTTCCGGGAGTGGGTTGGAGAACAAAGGAAATGAAATGCTTCACTCTGCAGAAAGGATGGTGCTGGGAGATGGAGATGGGGGATTTCCTCTCACTCCAGATAGCTCAGTCTGTAGCTCTGGGAATGGATTTGGGTAGGACCCACCACAGGCCTGATCCAAAAGGCTTCTCTTGGGCATGCACCCCATGGGCTTCAGGGAGGGGCAGGGTGTGATATCTGAGCGTCCCTGGTTGTGATGGGTGAGTGATAGCAGGGGGGAAGCTTAATGCTTGGGCCTTTTGCACCTGGCTATGCTGGGGAGGGTTTCAGCAAAGTGCTGAGTCTCCTTGCTGTTGTCAGTGTTAGCATCACACCTGAGCAGGGGCAGAGCAAGGTGTGGGGGTGGCTCGGCAGCAGCCAGGACTCAAAAGCCCCCTCCCTGCCACCCTCTTGCTCTGGGAGAGAGAGAGGGTGAGACTGTCTCACCCAGCCTGGGATCCCATCTGCTCTGGTAGGGCAGGAAGCCTGGAGACTCCCATCCCCTGCTGCATCCAGTGCGTGCTCCAGGCAGGGCTGACACGGCTTTGCAAGGGGGAAATGAGGGCATGCACCCTTCTGCTGCTGCCAGGCCCTGTGGGTTACCTGATCCAGGCTGGGGGATTGAAATGGGGGCAGCATAAAGCTCCATGGGCCCCTCTCCTGGGTCTTTTATTATTTGCTGTTGTCAACTTAGAAATGCGAACTAGAGACATCGATTTTTGGAGCTTGGACTCCGGAAAGTCATAAGGTAAAATTCAAGACACGGTCTCTGCTGCCTGGACATTAAAGACCCTCTGGGACTTCCCCTCAGAGTAGGGATTTATGCTCCACCTGGACACTATAATGGTTGGCTGCTCTCTTCCACCCTGGAGGAGGCTGCATTACAGGGGTGCAGCCTGGGAGCAGGGAGCTATTATTTGTAGAGGTGTGCATCATTTCTACTGGTAGCAAATGTGACGTAAGGTTTGCATATGGATTGCTTGGAGATGACCTGTGAGTTCCTGCCTGGTCAAGGGAGTGGTACGTTTAAGAAACTGTTGTAATAGCAAGGTAGTGATATGCAGTCTGATAAACTATAACATGCAGGCAAGCAAAGGGAAGTATGGGACTGAAGGTATGCACAGCCTTAAATAACTGTGATGTGCACAGATCCGCAGCAGAAATCCCCTATTTCTGCGACTGTTTTGGACTCCAAGAAGAAGTACTTCTGCCCATGGCATGTGGCTTTTGTGTCGCCACCACCTGCAGAATTTCACCAGTGCAGGGAGGTGCATGTATAGCAGTATGTTCAAGCATATATTTATTTCTGCTTGTGCTGTGCATGGATTTATTTTCTATATGTGCCCCTCACTTGAGGAAAGACACACCTGTGTGTTCATTGTAAATTTAATTTGGTCCTTACTTTAATGCTGTAGAGAGCATTTATGTTTATTAACTGCCTGCCCTGGATACATTTTGCCATTCCTTTAGCTCGTGTCTATTCAAAGAAAGATGAATTTAGGCAACTAAATATGGCATCTCCCTCTCCCCAATTGAGTTGTAATCATATAAAGCCCTCGGAAAGGCCCCTGTGGGGTAGAGGAGTCAGATGGCATAAATCAGTTGAGAAGGGATTAGTTCAGCACTTCAGTATAAGCTGCTGCCTTTTCCCTTATGAAAGTCCCCGACCCTTTGCCCCCTACTTTCAGTGTAGCTGTGTCCACAGCAGATGCTTGTAGCCCGTTGGGGATGCTCTTGAGAAGATGCTAGATAATACTTCCCTCCACGACTGACAGTCCCACCTCCACACCACCTTGAAACGAGTCAGACACAATGCTCTGCATGCGCCGTGAGACGGGCTCTTTCTCAGCTCCTTCCTTGGCTGTGACATGCGGCAAACAAAAGGTGCTGTCAGGGTTATCAGTCTCTTGTACTCGTTACTTTATTTAGGAAGGGAGAACATGAAGAACTCTTTTTTTTTTTTCTCCCCCTTCATGCAAACATTAGGCAAAGTCTTAAGAGTAGTGACTATATTAATAAGCACGTGCCTAAGCTGTTAGGGCAAGTTGGGGTGCAGGCAGTTGGCCCACCCAAAAGTTAGTGTTACTTCCTAAGGGAGCAAGCATGAAAGCTGCAAGGGCCAAATTCAGATCAATGATTTGCATTTCATCGGGGTCACCCTAGACAGAGATCCTCGAAGCTGACGTCATCGCTGGACACTATGTGCTATGTGATGAGGTAGCGTATTGGGGTCACCCGAGACAAAGATCCTTGTAGCTGACACCCGAGACAAAGATCCTTGTAGCTGACATCACCGGACACCATGTGCTAGGTGATGAGGTAGTATTGGGGTCGCTGGAGACCG